AGCATTGGCACCAAAATGCATCTTTGATATTTAATTTCTAGTTTATTCTTTGTCTTGTCGCCAAACTTATGATAGACAGAATAGCATCACAAACGTCTGGTTCAAATATATTGCAATCTAGTGGGAACCGAATAAACATTTTGAATGCAGCCTTCATGATATTTTGTAGTAAATTTGCCATGACAGTGCATACACTTCCTGCTGTTTCTTCTCTTGCTTTGTTTACTTTGTGCTTGATCTTGGGAGGTGCTGAAAATCTGCACCTTCTGTTCATCTTCTGTAGGGAGTGTTGATGCATTGTCCATCTCAGGAACAGATGTTCAGGACTCACTTCTTCATTAGAATCATGACTCTTGCATGAGAGGTCAGTAGTTGGTCAGTGGCCATTCAGCCAGCATTTGAAACTGCTTCCTAAGTGCAAGGCACAGTGTCTCAGCTCAAGGCAGCACAGGACACAGCACGGAGTGTGCTAATTGCTTCTTTCTTCAAGTGCATGGTGAGTTCCTCAGTCAAGTCAGCTATGCTGATGGGAGCAGATGTACTAGCTGCAAGTACATATATGAGCAAGATACTCCTTACTAATGATCATAGCTTTTGTGGGTATAAAGCACACCTCCCAGCAGGAAGTGTGCTTGCCTCTCAAGTACTCTTTTGCATGATATATCGGGATCATGATCTATTTCTTTCAAACTCTCCTTGCACTCCCAAACAACCTGTGTCTATTTATAGCAAATGGCAGGATTTGGCATTTCTTCCAATATGGTCTATTTGTAAGTTGCACAACTTAACCAAAAAGCATTGTTACCCGCATGCCTCTCTGATATTTAATTACTAATTATTCTTTGTCTTGTTACCAAACCCATAACAGACAGAATTGCATCACAGTCTGGGGTTTTTTGGACATATAAACCAGGTGTAAATTCTGCCAAGATAGAGATGTGACATAGCAAAATTCAGTCTGTTTCTCCTGTTGCTCCACCATAGAGTAAATGGAGGGCACTTCCGTTACAGTCAATGAAGTAACACTTTTTACATCAGTGTGAGAAAAGAGTCCACACCCTCTGTATTTACATGAGGACACTTGTAAATACCCCTGCCCAACACACACATCCTATAACCACTTTCTAGCAGACAGTTTGCAGGCCGGTACTCATCCTTACATTTAGGAACTATGCTTTTCTGTATAATCTGCAATGTTATCTTAGTGAGTATAGTTACAAGTGCTTACACTTTAGAAAGAATTTAGTATGCTAAGTTAAACATTTAGTATGCAGGGGTGGGGAACTTCAGGCCTTGTCTGGATCCAGCCCCCAAGGCTCATGGCTCCCCAGCCCATGCCTACTGCAGCACTGGAACACACAAAATTTACTAGCTTCGGCTCCACTGGTGTGCAAAGGAAATGTGAGGAGTTACTTTCTCCTTCTCAGTCAGGGGTTACATCAGTGAGGGTTGGGTGGTTGGGTTTTTTTTTCTTCTCATTTGTGTGTGGCCCTGACTGATTTTTCTGTGGGTCAGCAGCCCTCAGCCCAAAACAGGTTCCCCACCCCTGCCTTAGAGATAGATCGATAGATCGATCGATCAGTAGATGGATAGTATCATGAGCTTTCGTGCGCAAAACCTACGGTCTCAGATGAGCAGAATGGAGAGAATTCGGTTTTTTTTTAAACGTTGATGTATTTTTGAATGAAGTCAGGCATTTATAAGTTTCTGATAATTTATTTTGGTATTTGTATTGTGGTGGTGCCTGGGAGCCCTTGTCATAATTTAAAACTCTGTTGTGCTCGGTAGGTGCTGAACAAACAGAGAACAAAAGACAGTCACTGCCACAAAAGATGTATAATGTTAGCATAAGACAAGAGACAACAGGTGCATACAGGTAGGGGCACAAAGAAGCAATGAGGCAATATTGGTCAGCACGACAAGCAGTAGTCTCCACATAGCAGCAGCAGCCTACATGTTGTTCAGGCATTTGAAGGAGGAGGAGGTAGCTCTGTGGACGTTTATGGAGCGATCCTCCCAAGTGTGAGGGGCAGTATGGGAGAAAGCACAGAGGTGCTGAAAATTGTAACAAGTGGATGATGAAGGTTGGCATCATGGGCTGATCAGAGGCAGGGTTAGACCAGTGATTGATCTAGTTTAGTATCTCTCCTCAAGGAGTGGTTACCTCCTAAATGGTTCAAAGTGTGTGTGGGGCGGGGAGGTGTTTTCTCCCATTCCTGAAGCATGAAGTGTGATAACACCTCTTGACTGGATGGCCCTGGGAAAATGTGAGTTTCTCAATTGGACTGTATTATGCTTAAGGCCTAGATTGCAACTGGGAGTTTTGGGGACATGAAAGTAGTCTTGCCCTATTTGTACCCCTCACTCCCTGGGGGGGGAGGGGGGCTATAGTAGCTACACTCAGCTGAGGCCAGGGATTGTATAGTGCAAATGTCAATCGCCACCTCAGTGAACCTGGATAGGACGCAGGATCACACCTCTATCTTCCTTGGCACTGTCTGGCAGGGTTGGTTGGCTGCTGACTGAGTGTGCCTTTGGGCTCTGGGGTCATGCCCTCTGTTAGTGCTCAGTCCTGTGAGGATCTTGGGGGTTGATCTGACCAACACCCACTGAAGGCAAAGAGAGTCTAGCTTGATGGCAGTGGGTGTTTGATGAGGCCACCTGTGCACCCGTAACTCTATATTTTCAGTGAGGGTTCATGGCACTCAGTCTGGGAGGCTACATCTACACTACAAGGTTTTTGCGCATTACCGGCAGAGCATCCACATGTTTTTACACAAGAAAATTGACAGAACAGAGGGCTTTTGCCAGTAGAGTTATTCCTCTTCCCATGAGAAATAACTCCTTTTTGTGCTACAGTTCTGTGCAATGAGGAGTAACGGTAGTTCAAACTAGGAAGCCTAGTTCGAACTACCTAGTTCGTGCCCCGTGTAGCCCCGCTTATGCAAATGAAGCCCGGGAAATTCAAATCCCGGGCTTCATTTGCAATTGCGGTATGCCAACATTACCCTCCTATTTCGAATTAGGAGGGTAGTGTAGACATACCCCCTGAGACATGGTCTCCACATTAATTCACCCCAATCCTCCATGTTTCCTCAGCAGTCCCACTGCATTTGTCCCTGCTATTGCCTTCCCTTCCAGAGTCATGATCACTATAAAAATACCGTGATACAGAACAGCTTCTTCAAAGCAATGTATTGTTTAGTCATCCAGAGGAACGTGATGGTCAGAGAGAAAAGGGTTAAAACAACAAAGGGGTTCATGCATGGCGGCCTTACCTAACGCTTAGCATTTCTTTCAAGACTTAGGCTATGTTTACACTAGCACTTTTGTTGGTCAAGGGTGTGAAAAAACCACACACCCCCAACTAGCATTAGTCTCACCAACAGAAGTGCCAGTGTGGACAGTGCTATGTTGGCAGTGGAGGCTTTCCCATAGATATAACTGTGACTCATAGGGGGTGGTTTAATTAGGCCAGAGAGAGCTCTCTCCCATCGGGATAGAGCATAGATGCAAGAAGTAAGGGTGCAGGGGATCCTGCAGGAACCCTGCATTTTGCTTCCCGTGCCTGTGACCTAGCTGCCAGCTCACACCTGGGTCTCAGTGACCAGCCCCTATGCCTCTGGATGTGGACCCTGTGGCTTGCAGTGGTGCCCCTAGGCCTAGCAATTGGGACTCCAGGTGGCAGCAGAGCCCCCAGCAGCCGAGACCCTGGGACCAACAATGGATCCTGTGGGGTTGGCTGACTGGACCCCCAGAGGCAAGTAAGTAGTTTTTGTTTTCCATTCCTAATTTTCTTATTTCCTTATGCTGTGACATCATTATCACTCAAGCATGTTTTCAGTTATCATATTCCCTTCTGAAGTGTTTAGTCTAGGCTAGACCTGTTATCCATGTGTTGTGTTAGTGCGTCTTTATTGGTTGTATTTTACGATGCTTTTATGATTATAGATACCAATCCTAAATACTCAGCCCTGTTGTCATTGATTTCAAATCTATTTGTGCCATTAACCTCAATGGAAGCACTAAGTTATCAATGCTCGAGTGTGCTCAGAAGTCCAAGATCTTGCATTTGATCTTGTTTAGACAACTGTAATCCAAGAACAACTTGAATAAACCAGTGGAATTACATCAGGATAAAACTCATCTAATGTAAATGAGATCAGAAGCAGTGCAAAAATATGCTTGGGCTAAGGCTTTATAGAGAGCACTTGTTACCTTTCTTGTGTTAGACATGGTCTCCTTATGCTACCTGTTAATGTTACATTTGCTTTGTTTGAACCACCACTTTTAGAGCTTGTGTTTAATTAATGTAGTGTGCAATATCTTTCCCAGAACCCTCTTCGCTCTATTGTTTTATGTTCAACTCTCATATTTTATTCTTTGGCTTGTGAGATATTTCTCAGAATTATGGGTTTTAAAAAAATCTTCTTTAAATATCATCATATTGCTTCCCCATACCACCTCCCCTGATTTCATGATTCATGAGGAAGTCGGGATGAATACTCATACGTATTTATCATTACCTACAATTAACTGTTCATACTTTTGCATGCCCATTGCAAGGGCATGGTTAGTGCATCAGAGATATTTGTCCCACCCAAGCCCATAATGCTGAGTGTGCCCCATAGTCCTGCTTTCATGCTAAAATTCATTAGTCTGAAAATATACTGTCTGATGTGTCAGCCAATTCACATAAGGCGTACTCCTATGCCCCTTACACATTCAAGACCTTGGGGCTGCTGAGATAAGGAATGACTATTAGTGTTGATGAGCACTGCAGAAGTGGGCACTTAATTGAATCTGATGCTAAGGCCATGAATGAAATCCTGGCCCAGTTGAGGTCTAAGGCAAAACTTCCATTGACTTCAAGAGGGCCATGATTTCATCACACCTGTCTTATAATATCTAATGATCAATTCCAGAGATTTTAGAAATGCATCTATAAAAGACACTGAAAATGACATGCTTGAAATATGTTTCTTTCTTTTCTTTTCCAGAAAGTATTTTGGAGAAAAAATAGGACTGTATTTTGCGTGGTTGGGTTTATATACAGAATTCCTTATTCCGTCTTCTGTAGTTGGGATTATAGTGTTTCTTTATGGATGTATAACCATGGAAGATGACATTCCTAGGTAAGCTTGTCTGTGAACAGTATTTTGTTACTCAGTACTTATAACATTTTGTTATTGGACTTAATCCTCAGTACGTGCATTACTTTTAATATGTTTGAAGAGCATTTGTATTTTATTAACAAACAAATCTGTATAATACAGCTGTTTTTATTTCACAAGGATCCTACACATATGAAATAATGTTGTTCAGACCAAATACATTCCTTTCTGTGTTTACAAGTATGTAATAAACTTACGGAGCGTATTTATTTCAATAGCTGCACCATTGAAGATCCAAATAAACATATGGTCATATTCCCCTGTGTTTCATTCTAAAGTCACACTTATGCAATATGTGTGCATTTGCATCTGTGTAATATTTTAATGAAATGCAATAGAATATGTTCATTTGGATCTTTAATGGTGTGGTCATTCAAATAATGACACAATAAATGTATTGCATTCTTATAAAATATGAGAATAAACATATTGATCAGAAAAAGATTATTTCAGTGTTCTTTCTTGATGTGGGATCGCAGGGAAATAATAGCAGCTGTGTTAGTATAGGTTTCCAGATATAACAAGCATATATTTAAAGTTCTACAACATGGTATATTTCAAACAATGATGCCTTTGAAATACACGGTGCTGTTCGAATGAAAAATAAGCTCTGTTTACATAAATGATTTGAAAATTTAAAATTAGAGCTGGTCAAAATGTTTAAAATGAAAAGTTTCCCCAATTGCAATAATATTTTTCAATGTCAAAAAATTCTGTTTTCCATGAGAAATTTTTTTTCTTGCAGCTATTTTATCTGTCATTTTTTCATACACTGACAATTTTTCAATTAATTAAAAAAAAGACTTTCAATAAAAAAGAACAGTGGAAAAATTGGGAAATTTCAAATAAATGAAAAAGTATTCATTTCAAACCTGCTGCTAGTTCATTTTTTTTATTAGCCCCATTTAAATGTACACCAGAATTGGTAAACAGAGACATTAGTATAATGACAGTTCAATCATATTGTGTGTTTTTATAAATATGAGCAAACTCCTGCTTCCCTTATTTCTAATGTTAGGTTGTAGTGCATGGCACATTGAAGTGAATGGAAGGGAAATATTTCCTTTTTTAGTCCATTGTAAGTTGAGTTACAGGTAGGTCAATCAAAATTTAGCAGGTTGCCGTTTTCTACATTTGGAGATTGCAGTATTCTCTAATTCCTGGTTACCCAAATAGTTACTTGTTTGTTTTTGTTTTCTGTTGATGTGGCTATAAATAAAGAAATGTTTTAGTCAATCTACCACACTAACATAAATGCCCACTTCTAAATGAAAAAAAATGGAAAAGTATGAATATTTTGGTAATTTGTTACTTACTTTTTAAGCATGACCGTGGTAAGTCATGATGTTGGATTCTAATATTGCCTTTGTGTCTGCACAGATATTCCCTAAGTATATGGAATTAACCTTATTCTTGGCTTCTACACATAAAATATAAACTCTTTTTTTGAATGGGACAAACCCTTCATGCTTCAGGGAAAAAGGCAGCCTCTAAATTATGGTTAGGATGGAACTTTACTGGTAGATTGTTCCATAACTAACCACTGTAGGGATTCTTGCAGTTTCCTCTGAAGCATAAAGTAGCCATGATCAGGGATAGGATGCTGTATAGGAGAGACCTTAGCTCTGATCCAGTATGGTAATTTCTATTTTTGTTAAATTAAATTGGCAAGTTTTAACACCACGATCACAGTGCAGCAAAACAGATCAAGATAATTCTCAAGGACTGGCAAATGATGATTGATAACATTTCTGATGTAGATTGTTTTTAACCTGATTTAAATGAATTTTTAATCTAGATCAGCTGTGCCCATCTCAAATAAATCTTATGTGAACATTAAAACTGCAGAGGGACTTATGGCAAAGATACATCTGCTCCACCCTCAACAGCCTTGTCAAATACCATGTTATTTTAACTATGTCATAGCTGGAAATAGAGCACATAATTAAAATGAATTAATTTCCAGAGGGATAGTTTTGACTGTTGGAAGGAATAAATCATTTTCCATCACTAACTTCTATGGTACTAGAAAATCACCCCAGATGTTTGTCAAAAAGGAAACAATCACACACCAGAACAGTGTGAATTTAACCATAGTATCAGTGAATCAGGCTTGTAAGCTCTTCTGTTAGGCCATGATTCTGCAATTTGATCTATGCTTGAGCTACCTGAGCACGTGACCACTGACCTGAATGGGGCTCCATCTACTATATATTTGAGAGAGTTTGTTTGTCTGTTTGATCAAGAACTCCTCCTAAATGGCAAGAGTTAGCACCACCAAATTCGGTTTACAGCTTCCTCTTATCATAACTTAAAGGCATGGTTTAGTCGTGCCAGGAAAAGGGGATGTACCTGAAATGGGATTGCTTCTCAGAAAACCACACAGAAATGAGAATGAATCACCAAAGCAAGTACAGTCCTTAAAAATGACATAACTGAACGTACATTGAGAGAGACTGAACCAAGATGAGCCAGAAAAATAGGAGAAACCTGGAATAGAATTGCTTTTCAACAGACTTCACAGAAAAGAGGTAAAAGAGAAATTTGGAGCAATGCTCTGTTTTGGCACATCTAAATTAATTCTTATGGAAGGTTTGAAAACAAGAAGAAAATGTTATTGGAAACCAAATTGACTATATCTCTTTTTTGTTAAAAACATAATGAATGATAATAGTTTACAGTGATGAAGAAAAATACACTTGATGAAATTCCCATCTTTAAAAAAATTACTAAAAAAATTCAGTGGAAAATTCATCAATCCCTTTTTTAAGAAATCTGAATTACAAATTAACTTCATGAATATAATACTGTATTTCTGAAAAATGTGAGCAGCTTAATAGAGCATGTACGGTATATTTTCCTTTTATTTAAAAAAAATCTTAATTTACTTATGGACCTGGGCAACACTGGGTAAATCTGCTAGTTTGAGCTTAAAGGTCTTGCATATAGATTTGACAGCACGAATGTGGGGGATTTTACGGTAACATCAGTGGGCTTTGGCGTAGTGCCTGAAGGAAAACAGTAGCGGTTAGTTAAAGACTAGACTATAGATAGTTGGATAAACACATGAGAATAATGCACATTAAAAATCTTTTAAATAGACATTTAAAAAACTTTAGAAAATGTTTGTATTAGTTTATAAACATGCCAGTCAGAATTACAGTATTTTTGTAACTCTGTTTCTGGTGTCTCATGGGAAGAATGGATGCTTGCTTGAACTATATCAGATGATCTCAGAGAGTAGTCATGTTAGTCTGTAACTTTAAAAAGAACGAGTAGTCCTGTGGCACCTTAGGCTATCTCTACACTACTAGGTTATTTCAAAATAATAACTCCCAAAATAACTATTTCAAAATAAGCTTATTTTTCTTCACAAGCAGAGTTATTATTTCGAAATAACAAGACGCTCTCCTTGTTATTGTGGAATAAGGGAAATTATTTCAAAATAACTTCCCAGTGTAGACATGCCCTTAGGGTACATCTAGACAGTGGGGCTATTTCGGAATACTGGAGGTATACCCACGAAATCTTATGATACTATATATATGTTAGTCTTTAGGGGAACGTCTACACAGTTGCAAATTTCTAAATAATGTGCTATTTTGACACATTCTTTAACCCTTGTGGAACAAGGGCTACAGGGAGGCCGAAATAGTGTGCTCGTTATTTTGAAAAATATTTTAAAATAATGGGTACATTTAAAAGATGTGGGGTAGCTATTTCAGGATCCTGGATATAGCCCCACTGTCTAAATGTGCCCTAAGGTGCCACAGGACTACTCGTTTATATTGTATGATGTAATGTGAGGCACAGGGTTGACTGTTCAGCATTTGAATGCATGAGTCAGGAGACAGAGCTTTACATTTGTGGTGGTAAAGTAGTTTTCATCATATTTTGGAAATTTTGATTGGGATTCTTTCCCCCTGAAAAAATAAAGAATTGAGTCAAATTGTGGCCAGAGAGCATCACATGCACATTTGGAGAGATGAAATGAGTTGGCTAACATTCTCAAAACTGATTGGGTAGTGTGGTTAGGTGCTGTAATTTTTGGATACCCAACTTGAGATACCTCCAAGGGTCCTGATTTTTTGTAAGTGCTGAGCACCCACCTTTTTGATAATCAGCCACTATTAAAGTGTCTCAAGTCAGGCACCCCAAAATGGAGTACCCCAAATAAGTAGTAACATCAAGAAATTTGGCCAAAATTGTGTAGCAGAAGATGCTAAAGACAAGCATTGTGCCAAAAGCTCACCTTGGGAAAACAGTAATAGACATGTAGCATTGTTAGTTTAGTCTAGCTGAAACAAAAAACAGGACTATGTAGCACTTTAAAGACTAACAAGATGGCTTATTAGGTGATGAGCTTTCGTGGGCCAGACCCACTTCCTCAGATCAAATTGTGAAAGAAAATAGGCATGACCATATACACCAAAGGGATACAATCAAAAAAAGTGAACACATATAAAAAGGACAAATCAAATTTCAGAACAGAGGGGGGATTGGGGGGGGGGAGGTAAATGTCTGTGAGCTAATGATTGTACATAGCAGTCAACTGATCAGCTCCATCTGTGAAATGGAATAAGTAACATGCACTTTATAGGGTGTTATGCAGATTTGTGGAGCCATATTTCCTCTCATTTACACAGGGCCAAACATTCAGCATAATACTGGCCTAGATTCACACACAGATGAATGTGGCATTTAGCACGTGTTCTTGTTTGAGATGTTAGTCCCTGTCAGAGACATGTGTTTGTTAAGGATAAGCCAGAATTTGGCCCATGGAGTTTATCTTTCTGCAACTTTAAACCTCTTTTTTCATGCATTCAAAAGCTGACTTGCACCTCCTGCGTGTCAAAGAGGATTTCAATCTTCCCTCTGATTTCTTTTAATTATATTTAATACACATATAGAATTATAGAACACTAGAACTGGAAGGAACCGTGAAAGGTCATTAAGTCCAGTCCCTTGCCCTCATGGCAGGACCAAGCTCTGTCTAGATCATCCTTGGTAGATGCCTATCCAACCTGCTCCAGTTTTGGAGATTCCACAGCCTTCCTAGGCAATTTATTCCAGTGTTTAACCACCCTGACAGTTAGGAAGTTTTTTCTAATGTCCAACCTAAACTTCTCTTGCGGCAATTTAAGCCCATTGCTTCTTGTCCTATCCTCACAGGTCAAAAAGAACAATTTTAACCCTCCTCCTTGTGAGTTTATTTTATATTTAGTATACTTAATGAGCTATTCTTCTGCAATAAAATCCAGCAATCAGAATGATTTATTATCTTGCGTTGATTTTCCTTAAGCATGTGCTTAAGCCTCCCAGTGCCTAACAGCATGCAGTCGCTGTCCATGCTCTACTTTGACCTACAGTATAAAGTACGAAGGAGCCTTCTCTTAACTGGAAACACGTTGTGACATCTCTCATTTGTTATTTATAGTAAAGAAATGTGTGATCTGCAAAAAGCCTTCACCATGTGCCCTCTTTGTGACAAGGCGTGTGACTACTGGAACCTCAGCACTGCATGTGCTACCGCACGTGCCAGCCACTTATTTGACAACCCGGCAACAGTCTTCTTCTCCATTTTCATGGCTCTCTGGGGTGAGTGTGGTTTTGAACATTAGCAATGTTATTACATCTTTGGACTCATAACAGAACCAAAAGCTGTGATGGCACAGTCGTCGAGCAATAACATTGTATTGCGCTTAGGGGTTTAAATGTACTTCATATGCGTTATACGGCTAGCAGGCCCAAAAGGATAATATGTGCTGGCTTTTGCTGAGGACTGCAGTTAGCTATGTTGCCCAGAATTTCCTCCCCTTCCTGGCCTCTATTAGGATTGTGGTGAGAGGAATGTAAGTCTCTAGGGTCTGAATTCCCAAGGTGTTTAAAGCGATAGGGTCCGAACAGAGTCGGGTCATCGCCCCAATCTTGGGGGCTCTAGCTGTGCTCTCAGTGTGCAGGTGTTCTTTCTGGCAACTCCTTCCGAATGCTGGAACTTGCTGTCCAGCCACCTAGCCCCTCAGGGCACAGTGCTGACCCTTCAGACTATCCAGGATTTAAACACACCCCTCTCATAGTATTCCACCCCAAAAGTGTGAAGCTTCTGGTTTATCATTGAACTCTCTCAGGGATCCTCTGCCCATTGTGTTCCTGCCCCGCAGCAGCCTTCCTCATCTTAATCTGCTGCAAACTCTCTCTCTGTCCCTGTCCTCTGCCCCTAAGTTCCTTTATGCACACTTGCTGGGGCCATCTGCTTCTCTTGTTCTGCCTTTTGGTAATTTGCCATAACCCCTCACCCCTCTTCACTGCAGACCTGGGGAGGAAGTGTCTTCTCCCAGGTGGAATAAACCTATTGCCCCAAAGGGGTTTACTTTGAATAGATGATCATTGTGTGCTGCTCATTTGCTGGTGACTGTCCCAGCAGAGACATAACCCAACCACAACGCAGCTCAGGTGGGATCCGCAACCATAGGCTTGCCAAGAAACAGTGTGCATGGTAAGGTGTCATAAAACTGAGATGTGTTAGAGACAGAATGCCCATTTCATCACACTGGCCAAGGACTGGAGCTAGCTGCACTACCAGGGATTCCCTCTGACTGTGGCTGCCTCTGTGATTCCTGGGACAGGGGCATGGTGTGTATAAAAATTGGAAGAGGGAGCCATATACGTACCTATAAATCATACAGCCCAGGAGTTCCTCTTCTGTGCCCTCAGCCCAGGCCTGCCGATGGGGGTGGGAAGGGGCAATTATCCAGGGATCTAGATGATTTAAAAGGGCCCAGGGGCCCCTGGTGCTGCCACTGGCAGTGCAGCAGAGCTAAGGTAGGCTCCCTCCTGGGAGCAGCAGACACAGTCTCTGCTGCCTCTGGAGTGGAGTGGGAGTCTCCATGCACTGCCGCTGCCCCAAGCACTGACTCTGCAGCTCCATTGGCTGGGAGCTGTGACCAATAGGAGTTACAAAGGTAGTACCTGTGGGCAGTGGCACATGGAGATCCCCTGCCCCCTCCCACCTAGGAGCCGCATAAAGTAAGTGCCACTGCACTCCAACTCCCTCCCAGAGTAACGAACCAAGCATCATGAGGCTCACAACATTGCACAAGTTGGCAACATGGTTAACCACAGCCAATAATCTCTCTAGAAATGAATGATGTTGAGTGTTACAAAAACTGCGGTGTCCTGGTTTATCTGCTGCTATGGACTATATAATGCACAGGCTTGTGAATTTGCTACCTGAATCTATCATAGTTTCAGCATGGACATCTAGGTTGCAATGTGTCCAAACCACAGAAGAATGAATGCTCTCAGCACTGGCAACTTGACAGAACAGATATGCACAATCACTGCTTGAATATGCCAGAAGATTATGGCAATAGGCTGGGAGGAAAGAATTGGATGAGAAACATGGAATAAAATAAACTTAACACGCTGGAGTTGTATTCCCAGTCCTATGTACTTTGATCTGTTACATCAAGTGATTTCCTGCATGGTTGCACGGGGTGACACTGTCCATGGAGATGAACATAAGGAACATCCTTATGGAATACCCTCTGATGCACCAGGGTATAATCCAGACTAATGAGCAGTTATTACCCCTAATTTGTAACCTGGCATGCCCTTGACAATGCTTTGTGCTATAGTCTGCAGCCTAGACTGCTCCCAAACTGCAATGCCAGCTATGCTTCTGTGGGTGAGGTAACTAGCCAGCTACACCTTGGCTATTACCAACCTTGGTTATGCTACCAGGTGGCACCATCACAGCACCAGTTCCAGATTTCTCCCCCTCCTCCCCAAGCAATGAATAGCCTGTTCCACTCCTGGACAGTGCAAATACATTGAGTCCATAATTCCTTTAAGCGGGTAATGCACAGATAACACGGAGTCATATGGACACTTCAAGTTGATCACACTGGATTAGGTAACACAATAAAACAAGTTTGTTTACTAAATAAAGATAGATTTTGAGTTAGTATAAATAATGAGGCATAAAAATCAGAAGCAGTGACAAGAAAAATAAAAATAAATTGTTTTCTGGTAACTATTTTTGTCGCAAAGCAATTTTTTCACCCTATGCTCCAGCAGATTACTGACCTAACTCTTAGGTCAAGACTCTTCCATCACAGTCCAATGACTGCTTCCTTTGTCTCTTCAGGTGCAGTGAATGGGATGGGCAGGGAGAGAGAGAAGGGTGCCTTTGAGTCTTCAGCTACGTTTAGACTGCATAGTTTTTCTGGGATGCCAGAGGTACCTCGGAAAAGCAATGCTGCATCCAAGGAATGTGTCCACTTTTCAAAAAAATTTTTTGAAAAAGCGGACATGCTCTTTCGCCATCCCTGTAAACCTTGTTCTATGAGGCAAAAGGGATATGTTGAAAGAGCAGGTTTTTCCAAAATGTGGAGCTGTGTAGACGCACCAAATTTCAAAAAAGCCTCTTTTGAAAGAAAATCGGAAAAAGATATGCAATTTGCGTACCACGAATTGTGTCTCTTTTTCCGATTTAACTCTGCAGTCTAGACATAGCTTTGTCCCTACCTTATATTGTCTTAATTCCCAGCTGAGAAATAGGAGACTGCAGAATTAATTCGGAAAAAGAGACACAATTTGCAGTAGACGTAACCAAAGAGTCTCCTAGTGTGGAAGGGTTTTCTCTGCTGTTTCCTTCACCAGTCTGAACATTCTTTGTCTTTCTTATCCTGCTTGATGACTCTGTTTACTGTGTCAATGCAAATTAAACAGAGCACATGTTCCTTTAAGAGAAACCAGTTTCCCAACTTCTGTTTGTTCATGACTATGGGGTTTGAAACATGTGTTAACAATACTTTACAAAGAAAACTTGTAACTTCACTGAGGCTGTGTCTACATTGGCAAGATTTTGCGCAAAAGCATCCGTGCCAGTGTAGATGCTCTCTTGCGCAAGAAAACTCCAATGGCCATTTTAACCATCAGACTTTCTTGCACAAGAAATTCATGTTGCCTGACTACACTGGCCTCTTGCGCAAGAACACTTGCACAAGAGGGCTTATTCCTGAGCAGGAGCGTCATAATTCTTGCGCAAGAAGCACTGATTTCTTACATTAGAAGGTCAGTGTTCTTGTGCAAGAACTCACGGCCAGTGTAGACAGGCAGGAAGTTTTTGCGCAAAAGCACATGCCAGTGTAGACGCTCTCTTGTGCAAATACTCTAACTCAAAAACTCTTGGGCTGCATCTAGACTGGCAAGTTTTTCCGCAAAAGCAGCTGCTTTTGCGGAAAAACTTGCCAGTCTAGATGCAGCCCAAGAGTTTTTGAGTTAGAGTATTTGCACAAGAGAGCGTCTACACTGGCATGTGCTTTTGCGCAAGAGATGTGCTTTTGCGCAAGAGATGTGCTTTTGCGCAAGAGATGTGCTTTTGCGCAAGAGATGTGCTTTTGCGCAAGAGATGTGCTTTTGCGCAAGAGATGTGCTTTTGCGCAAGAGATGTGCTTTTGCGCAAGAGATGTGCTTTTGCGCAAAACCATCCGTGCCAATCTAGACGCTCTTTTCTGCAAATGCTTTTAATGGACAAACTTTTCCGTTAAAAGTATTTGTGGAAAATCATGCCAGTCTCGACGTAGCCTTGCGTTAAGGAATATTTGTGCAAAATCTTGCCACTATAGATGTAGCCATACAGTATTGCTGCATGCCTTTAACCAGGACAGTACTGGTCATCAAATTATCAGTTTCCAAATGATACCTTACAAGGCATACTTTGCACAAAGATTATTTTACTAGTGTGTAAGAGTGTGAACACAACAATCTATTCTACCTCCAAATTTATCATTAAAATTCCACTTTGTGCTAATTGTTGGCTTTTAATTTTGGTCCTGCAGTGACAATGTATGAATGACATACTGTCTCAGATAGAATACAAGTATGTTCCTAAGAGATTTCTTGCTTGAAAAAGAAAATCCTTACATCTATGCAAATGATCATTTCCAGTGCAATTGAATTCATAGTAATTTCCCTGTAGCATCAACAATATGATTTATGAAGTATACTATTGACATATCCCATGTCTGCATTTTCAGAAATGAGATGAAATTACTAAAGTTTGTAGTGAAATAGAAAACAACAAGCAGTTCTTTATGTACTGGTTTAAAAAAGACACTAAAGGACAATAAAATCTTTTCTGAGCCATATCCTGTCATTAAAATAAAGTTTCCCACAGACTGGAAAATTCTTTGTGCTGAAACTATGATAACTGAGCTTGTCAGTGCAAGAAAATACTCCCATCATGTACCAGCGTCTGCAAAGTAAAACCAAGTATCCCATGTTAACCCTGCTCCACTTGCATACAGAGCATTATATTACACTGTTATTGCTGCCCAGCTAATAGAGAGGACATTCTTACTATCTAGCATTCAGTTTGCTGACTAACAGATCTTCTGTTCTTTGCATACCTGAATCCAGCTTCTCTTACAGTGTCTTGAATAAACATTGGTTGGGTCACTTTTTTGTAAGATGTAGTGATGGAGAAGCTGTCATGCATTATTATTCACCACTAGTATGCTTAAAAAAGGGAACAATATGGTATTTATGCCCTGCCGAGCTGGTTTCATTTCATGGTGAGTGCTGTGCATTAGAATTCTCCTTTCATCCTTCTCACTTCTTGGGAAAGACGGAGAGATTTATTACAGTTGCTATCAGGAAAGGAAGCATGCTCCCATTACTTCTTGTTGGGACACTTCATTAAATATCTTCATGAGCTCAATGACTCTATTTTCAAAGCCCCATATTCATTGAGAATTGTAACTCAAAAAAAGAGAATCACACCTGGCTCATTGCGCTTATAGCTGTTAATGTTCAGAGATGTCAAATTTCCACTTACAGTTAAGGAATTTCAGGGTACGTCTAGACTGCAGAGCTTTTCCGGGATACCTCTGCTGCATCCAAGGAATGCGTCTGCTTTTTTCTGAAAAAATTTTTGGTAAAGCAGATGCGTTTTTTCAGCATCTCTGTAAACCTCATTCTATGAGGAAGAAAGGATGTTCCGAAAGAGGCTTTTTTCTGACATTTGGCCCAGTGTAGACAGGCCAAATGTCAGAAAAGCCTCTTTCAGAAGAAAAATGTATCTTTTTCTGACTTTTCTTTGTAGTCTAGACACAGCCTCAAAGGAACAAGGAGAGCTGAGCTCAGAGCTGAGCTAGTTTACAGCTGGTGTAAAACTGTGTAGCTTCAGCAATTTAAATGATGTGGATTTGCACCATTGGTTTATGTAGCCCAACCAGTTAAAGTTGGGTAAGTGCTGTCATTTTCATCCCCTTGAGCTAAACAGGGAAGAAAGGCACAAATCCATCTACAAAACCATCAAGTGGTTTTCTTTATAGTTATTCCAGGAAGTCCTTGAACCCCGCATAATGTGTTAAAGAGGGTTTTTTTATATTTATTTGCACTGAGGTCTCAAAACGGGATGAGTAAAAATAACAATTATCTGAAGATATGGGCTTAGCTTTCAGTAATAGGTTGAAAATATTTTCTGCTGTCTGCCAGTTCTGCCAGAGCATCCTGCAGTGACTTTTAGATTCTTGTAATGTGAGAGGACTTGTGCAGAGAAGATGGTGTGTACTGTGCCCGACAGGTCCCATTTAACACCCAAGTACGTAGGATACAAGATTCATTTCAAAATCTGGCCATTCATTATGGTGCCTAAATGAGAGATTGTATATTTTGAGAAATCTGGCCTTAATTGTGGGTGTTGTGCACTTGAAATTTTTTTCTCTGAGTTCTTGAAAATCTGGCTCCAGAACTTGATTTTTACTCTGGTCTTATGACCGTTCCATCTGTGAGATGTACACTTTTTATATTTGTTTGTCTAGAGTGCAACTCCCAATATCAGAATTTGTTAACAGGCTGAATAATTTTGTCTGCAGGCTGAATTATCTTTTCAGCAATAGAGTTCAGTGAAGGGAAACAGCTGTGAAGAAAAGTTTTCTTCCCTCCTCTCTATATTTCACAAGGTCTGTCAGAGAGCACATTTTGAGTTAGCAACTGCTTTGAATAGTCCCATACTTGGGTTGGAAGCAATGAGATCTCAAACCATCTCTGATGTCCTATCGACTGCATAGCCCTTTAAGTTACCCATAACAGAAAGGCTGGATGAGGCCCAGTGTAAAGTCAAATAAAAAAATGAATCCGATCATCTGTATTCAGTCAGCTCATCTCTGTAGTCTGCAGTTATGTGGTTCGGCATGGGCAGCAGACCTCTTCCAAACTGTACCTTGCTCTGGCACCCATGTCAAAGTCAAAAGAATCAGGATCTAATTCTCCATTGATTTGCACCTTGTACAGTTTTACACCTCTGATAAGTGACTGCAAAGTGGCAGAGGTGACATGTAAATGTGGCACAATGGAAAGGTTCTGTGTGTGTTGTGTGGCGGGAGGTCTTGACTGTCCCAAGTGATGCCTCTGCCTACATCCCCTGAAACCTGATATGTATGTAGACAACACACATTATCAACTACCTCCTCCTCCTCTTCCTCTTCTCTGCCCTGTGGCTGCTAAGCCCCTCAGAGCTTTGGGGCATCCCTCCCTGCCTGGGCTACCCTCAATCAATTTAGCAAGTGTTCAAGACAAAACCAAGAAAAAGTGCAACACAGTTGGGATGCACGCTTCCGGGTGGCCCCGATGGTGGGATGGTGCTTGGATCTGGATTGTCTCCGTTCTCAAGAAGTTGGAGAATTATCAGTCACATTTGTTAGATGGGGGAATATGATACCCCCAAATCACCTTCACCTCGCCAGGCACTTTGGAGGGAGCAGCAAGGTTTGCCCTCCTGCCCCTTTTCCAAACTCCCCTCTCCCACTTCAGTCTGTTCCTCCCACTCACCACTGGGACTCTTGGGACTCCATGGAGCTGCTGGGCACCAAGGCTCAGTTCCTGTTCCCAGTCTCGGAGATGCCTCACTGAGTCACCTCAGCAGACCTGCAAAGCAGGCTGGGAGAAGTGCTGGCACTCTGGCAGCACGGAAGAAGCAGCAATCCCATGTAACAGGGGTAGGCGTTCAGCCTGCACCCAGACCCCCTGCTGCTTTCCCCCTTCCCACTCTGCCGGGGAGCCACTTCCTCCTCACTGGTGGACATCTTGGTGAGAGGTGGCATGAAAAATTGGGGTAGGAGGAAGAGCTCATGACCTCGCTTGCCCCCTCCCCTGCTTTGCCTTTGCATAGTGGGAGTAAAGTATTATTCTGATTTAATAATTTTTGGACACTCACTTTGCATAGGTGGAAAGGATGACAGAACATAGAATCCAGTGGAGAATGGATTGGGATACCTACTCTTTCTGAACTTATACATCCGTAGGTCAAAAATAACATGAAACCAGGCTGTCAAGAGGAAGGAACAATTATGGGAAGAAGGGCAGAAGAGTAAAAAGCAACACAGCATGTGCTGTCTACTGTCAAAGAAAGGGGAAAGAAAAGCAGGAGATAGAATTTGTCTTCTACCACTTATGGGAAAATCACTCTGAATATGTCTCCACTGCAGCTAAGCCCCCACAGTTGGTCTGTGCCAAACTGAGTGGGGCTTACAGGGCTTGGGCTATAGAGCGATCAAATTCTGGGGTAGATGTTGGGCCTGAATTATAGGGGCTCGTCTAGACTACATCCCTGTTTTGAAAGAGGGATGTAAATGAGCCCGATCGAAAGTGCAAATGAAATGTGGATTTAAATAAAGTGAAACCGTAGTCTAGACGCAGTTCTTTTGAGAAAAAAAACAACCTTTTTCAAAAGATCCCATATTCCTGAAAAAATGAGGAGTACGGGATCTTTCGAAAAAGGGAGGTTTTTCTTGAAAGAACCGTATCTAGACTGAGGCTTCACTTTGGAAATACCCTTTTTTGAAACAGCGATCAGATGCGAATATGCAAATGAAGCATAGGGTATCAAAATCTGTACTTCATTTGCACTTTCAAAAGAGGGATGTAGTCTAGATGAGCCCTAGGAGCCTGAACAACTACATTGCAGTTTAATGGCCCCATTAGTGCACATCAACTGCCATGGACCAGCAGTGGGAGCAGATGTTTAATTGCAGTGTATTCAGACCCTCTAACACCTCACTTGGCTGGCTTACATGTATCAAAAATCCTAATCTAGTACATAATAATATATAATAATAAAATAATAATGATTATAATTAATAATAATAGTAGTAGTAATAATTAGTAAATAAATTGAGTTTATATTTTAACATATGTGTTTTGTTGTTGTTACCTTAAGCTACCATGTTTCTTGAACACTGGAAACGTTTACAGATGAGACTAGGTTACTTCTGGGATCTCACTGGCTTGGAGGATGAAGAAGTAAGTTTCCTTTCCATGTATTTAACATTTTAAACCTGAAAATGTACAGTAATAATTAGGAAGGAGGTTTCTTATTATATATATAATTCATAGGGGCACAATTCAAGTTCTCTTTTTTAAAATGATTGTAACTGATTTTATTTTGAGTGTCAAGATATCTTTAGAGAAATGATTGCACATTTATTACTGTCTTCCGTGTTCAGGCTCACTTTTAATAATTAATGTAGAAGATTATATCGTAACATGAATGGCAGTTCATTCTTAATTTTAAATTTCCATCTTCATTTATATAGGGTTCAGTAGTAGAGTGATGACAGATCTCTCCTTTTAGAATATTCCATTCAATTTCTGCTTTATAATGGATAACATAAATGCTGAGTGCAGAGGATTGTAACATATCACAGTAGCATACCTAATCTCTACATCTTGATCTGGGCTGCCTGATTGAAACCAGGGATGGAAAATCCTAAGCTGAAAGTACTGAGAGGTTAGACTGGTTGACACTTGCTGTTGCAGAAGTAAGACACGTATCCACCACAGCCCTGAATTTGTTTTCCACGACAAATACTGTATGTGAAGAGTAGCACTGGTTGGAATTTTGTTTTCCTTTCATGGTGAATATTTATGTACATGTTCATTCTTGTGCAGGTTTTCAATGGACCTTTCATGGGTCAGGCACTCACTGTTATGGGCACCTCCTGCTGGTCACTGAGTATATGTCGACACAGCAGTGTTATTTTGGAATAACAGACATTATTCCGAAATAACAAGTCTGTGTCTACACTACAAGCAGTTATTTTGACATTATGTCAAAATAATGTTGAGCTGGAGGACTTCTTACTCTGACTCCTGTAACCTTGCTTGTATGAGGAGTAAGGGAAGTGAAAAGAAGTGTGCTCTTTCTCAGACTTCCTACTGTGTAGACAGCACCAAATGCTGAAATGAGCTATTTTGATTTCAGCTACGCAGTTGACATAGCTGAAGTTGCATAGTTTATTTCGGCTTTCACCCTGCTGTGTAGATGAGCCCTCAGAGAATTAGCATTTCAGCCCTGGAGCTCCCGCTTTCTGCTAGTGTCTCGCCTGCTGTTACCTGTTAATGTCTCCACCACTTCATGGTAGGACCCAGAGCAAGTGTCTTCCTTTCCAGAGAATCCCCAGTCCACTATGTTCACTTTGCCTCAGTGACCTGCTGCCAGGCATCATGTAGCCCTTTACTTCAGGGGCAAACTGCAGTCTGAAATTGCCACTCAACATTGGCAAGGGGGAATGGACTTGCTGCCTTCTACTGCCCTGGCTACCTCCCTGCAGTCCTAGTAGCTTCAGGCCCTGCAACTTGGGAGTGAGGTCAGCAGAGCTACGCAACTCTTCTTTATAAATAAAATTATTCGTCTACCTACTTCTATTAAGATTTTGGAGATCAAAGTGTGCTAGCATGTAACAGTGAGAGCCACTACTTCATGAATAGGCACTCCAGGCTCACATGACTGTCAGCTGCTGGACTTGGGCATAAGTTTCCTTATAAGCTTTGGGACCTACTGAATGACAGATGGAAAAGATGTAACCAAGTATGATAGAAATGGAGATCACGCTGTTCAAAATTATAGAGTAGCTGCACACATGTAGTTCCCTGGCATTTGTCATTCAGGCTTCATTCACTCCAGTCAGTTACTTAATGTGTGAAGCAAGTTGAAGATGTTATACAATTTCTAAGTATTTTCAGATAAAAGGATAAGGGAAGACATTGGCTAAAATCCAGCCTTGGTGAACTGCTTGTTTTAGGATTTAAAAATCCAGTTACACGATTTGTGTTTTGCTTTATCTGCAAAAGGTCATTGCACTCTGCAGGGATTGTCAGTGAACTAAGCCATGAATTGTGGATTGTGGCTGGGTTTAGTGGAAAACAAGCCATTTCAGTAAAAGAGTTGTATGAACAGGCTGCTTTTGAAGATCATTTTCTGTCTCTGAATTTGGATGTTTCTGGGAGTCAGGCTCCTTCAAATGAGGAGAAGTGCCAGCCAGAAAGCCTCTGATAGTTATTGCAAGTCTTTGTACCCCAGTTTTTTTTTAGTTTCCCCCCTCATCCTGATCCTAAATCTAGGCTACCTTGACTTATTGCCCATCATACCTGAGATTGGGGATATCAAACTCTGTGGGAAGGAGCTGGAAATAGGAAAGACAAAGAAAATGGTAATGGAAAAATTGCCAAAGCCGCAAACACTGTCCATACAACGAGTAATGAAGCAATCAGAGGAAGGTTAAGTAGCTCAGGTCCAAACCTTCTCCCGATCAACAAAATACCTATGTCCCACCACTGGACACTCTCTAATGTCAGCTACCGTAACCAAACTGGCCCCGGTGGCTTTGCTTGTGTCTTTTTTGGGAACGCTGTTGAAGCTGCCCAGGGTCAGTTTTGCTGGGCCCCCAGCTGAGTCAGAAGCAGATGTAGACTGGAGGGGGGTCTGACTAGCATGGAAACATGGAAACATAGGCATAGTTAGAGCAGGAGCAAGGACAAATGGGGCAGAAACAGGAACCAACTGGAGCAAAAGCAGGAGCAAGGGCAGGCTGTTAGCAATTCCCCTATCTAGGCAGCGGTGTTGAATAGAAGGGAGAGGCTGCTTCCTTTAGGAGCCTATATACCTGATTTGGGTGACTTGGCTGGGGCCTGCCCTGTGAATTAGCTACTCCTTGACTGAATGGTATGGGGCCTATCCCCAGTCCAGTGAGTTATTACCTTTGATGACTTGTCACACTCTCTGGCTCAGGGCTGACTCATCAAGCTTAAGCAGGCTCAGGTTTAAGGGTAACTCAGGTTTAGGCCGGTTCAGAAGTATTTCACCCAGGAAACTCAACTGAAGCGTGTTGTCCATATGGCAAGTAAAGCTTGAATTAGAATGATCCTGTGCTAACGTTTGTGACCAACTAAGACACCATCCTTGTCCACTTAGTCATTAGCAGTTCTGAATGCAGGTTGGACAGTAACTGTATAATTTAAATTGGGATTCAAACAAAGCAGAAGAGTGCTCTGGTGTAGTGGCAGCTGAAATGATAATTCTGTATAGAAACAATAGAAACCAGAGCTTCTGAGGGGTCAGGCAGATTTAGCATCCTTGCACTAATGGATATCTGACACTTCACCAAGCAGTGTATGGATAGCAACTGAACTCGCTAGCAGATGCTTAATGGATACTTGGGGAGTGTGTTGCTTGGATGGGAACACAGAATGAAGGACAGTTACTGAAGACTGTGTTGGGATGTTAGACACCAAAGGCTTATGTTTCAAGGCAGACAATTCCATGGAGAGCTTCAAAGTTTCTGTGCCACAGTTGCTGTGAATCCAGCTGGAAGCACTTCCATCTATAGGGTCATTTTGCAAGGTGCAGGTTCTGGGGGATTCTGAATATCTGGAACTAGAACTAGTGGGACTTATGGACTTACATGACTTTGATTTGCTCATGGGCCTATCCTAATAAACATATGTTGAATTCAAAATACATTTTTTCAGCCTCTTGATGGTCACAGGTATCCAGAAAGAGTGCAGATTAAAAAAAAGTCATGCAAAGTGTTTTGAAGGAACATGTTTGAAGACCGAACAATTGGTTGGCAATACACATTGAGTGTGGGACAATGCTGATATTCAGTATATTGGTAATGAAGCAAAACTTTTTGCATAGTGGAGAGGTGGCTGATGCATAGTGGGTAGCCCAGTACTCTTATTTTATATGGCAGGAGGCTATTTTGTGTCAGCTCATTGAAGAACTATGCACTGGTGAGTGGGAGGAGATAATGTGACTTCTGCTAGAATCTCAGATAATCTAGAAGGAATGACTTTGTCTGGAACACTCCATGTGCTCTTTAGGCAACCATGCCAATATAAAGTGAGACGGAAAGTACAGCTTTGTGTATTGTGCCAGGTACATATCCTCAGATCAAAGACCTTTCATGCTTAAGCTGTGATATTTACCAGTCGGGTGTACAACTGGCTGGGGGATAATTAGTTTTCTTTTACCAGTCGGGTGTACAACTGGCTGGGGGAGAATTAGTTTTCTGCTTGTTAGAGCACAAGACTGAGAGCAAGGACAGCACATCTCTACTCTTTGCTCTGCTACAGACTTGAGTAAGCAAGCCACTTAATTTCCCTGAATCTCAGTTTCTTCGGCTGTGAAATGGTGATAATGCCATAATCTTACAGGCTTAACTCATGACTTGCAAAGCACCGTGAAGTCAATAAGTGGAAAGAGTTATGCAGAACTTTAAGTGGAAATGTTTTGTGGCCTGTAATGTAACAAATCCTTTCACTTGTCTCAAATGCAAAATGCTTCACAGGTCTCAGTCTCGGTTACAGACATCTTCTCTTACCGTTCTTTTGTCTGCTATTGGCATTTTCCATGAACATGCAGAAGATGGCACAGTTTCTGTTGGACCTTTAGACATCAGTTTTATGAAGGAGTTTGTTACATGTCACCTCTGCTCTTAAAACAGACCATGATGTCCCACTAGACAAAAGTGGTCCTTAAGTATGCTGATGAAGCTCTTACAGAATTAGAGGGTACAGGAATTATGGAAAACCAAGACTTAGATCAGGTCAAGCCTGAGGTGGCAGCAGAGGAGGATGCAAGATTAGGGGGTAAACTGAGATGGAATGGGAACATGGAGAAGTCAGAGATTGTGGTGTTTTAAGAAAGAGCCAGGAAAAAGAAGTCTAAACAAGCCAGTTTTAATGTATCTTGAGTATCTGTTATGAAATGAGGCAGGCAGGGTAATAACCATAAAAGCCTTGACAGTTGAGAGATACGGAATGAGGTTTACACTGAAGTGTATGTTTTTGTTCTGCCTCACTGGGGCTTTGATTTTCTGTGAAATAATGTTTCTTTAGACACACTGGGCTAGATTAATCTGTGGTGCACCCTCTATGACTTCACTAGAGTTACACCAGAGAAAAAGGTCATCTTTTTTTAAGTATCTTGGCAATAAAAGTCTGAGAAAGAAATCTCTGCA